GGACGCTCCACTGCACTAATTGCTCTGTATTAGGTGAGCATCATGGATTTAAAAAAAATTAATAAAATGAAATCCCTTCAGGCCATTCCCCTAGAAAAACAACACTCAAACTACAATTCTAATTCAAAATTTTACAAAAATATAAATGTGGACATCAGTTAGTGATTTCTGAAGCATTATCATGTTGTCATTTTAAGTTGGGCTACTGTCCCATTTTTTCTGTTTTTTAAAGCTCCAATACCCCCTAGTCATCTTGTCTGAAATTTGCTTAACTAGACCCAGCTCAGTGCTCTGTGGCTGGAAACCATGGTGGCTACAGGATTTAAATACCATCTTGCTATGATTCTTTGCCAGGAGTTCAATTTTTCCCCTAATTATTGGTGATAAAGCATCACATTAATTGTATATCACTTAATTTATAGCAATTAATGATTGATTGGATAATCACTGCATTAATTATTGTTCAGTTGCTAACACTGGGGGCTCTTTAATCCAGAACACACACTTTCAAATCTACAATGCTAAAAGAGAACAAGGGATCACTTTCACATCTCAAAAAAGAAAACCACAAAGTTGGATGGCGGAAATAGCTGTGCATTAGGGAAAAGGCTTTGCTTCAAAGAACTGTCTTCACCCTCTGTTGGCCCACAGAGTGATTCACACTTGCCTTGAGTAGATGTGACCCCACAGTGTCTACCAAGGGCTTGTACGTGTGCCACCACTTGCCATCATGGAACCCTAGGTAGCTGGGGCTGATGGGTGTCACTTGACCACATTTTACAGATGAGGCATCTAAGGCTCCAAGAGGCCAAGTCCCTTAACCAAGGTCATTCGCTAACTGGTGAGCTTCCTGACTCCTAATCTAGAGAGGTCTTTCCACTTCACCAACATGCTTTCAGACTGAGCACGAGGCTGACTTACTACAAAGCATATTCATAGCTGACAATCCCACTCATTTTAAACATACAGGTGGCTGTCGTGTTACTGTTACCACCATACAACTTGAGGAGAGTGCTACTCCCCATACGTGGAAGGGAGATGAAAACTAGATTGGACTGAAAAATTCCAAGCTCGGAGAGGTGGTATAGCATACTGGTAAGAGCTTGGGCTCTGCCCTCAGGGTTAGTCGCACAGCCAGTATGCAATTCTGAACCTGTCCACACGACTTTTGGCAACTTGCCTGAGCTCTCCAGGGCTCAGTTTACTTATCTGCAAAATTGCAGGGGAGGGAGGTGGTTACTTACAATATCATTTCATAGAGTGGGGGTGAGAATCCAATAAAATCATGTGTATAAAGCAGTGCGTCCCAACTCCTTTTCACATCATGGCACACACAGAAAATGACGGTAAATTACTATAAATAGATGAAGTTGCAGTTGACCCTGGCCTCAGCAGCGCCCAGCCCCACCTGGCCAACCCAAAGGCTGCAGGGATCAATACCTGTGCACCTGTAAGCCATTCATAGCATGCCTATTGGGAAGGACAGGTGTGACACACTAGATGGGTGCCGGGCACAGAGTCAGAGCTTAATGTAGCCTCTATAATAACTGGAAAGTTATTATATCTGTAATGCATTCTTTCAGGGTTAGTTTTGCTCCTTTTGAATATCGTCAGCTGCATTGTCCAGTATGGTAGCCACTAGCCACACGTGGCTAGCTCAATTTAAATTCATTAACGTTAAATAAAATTTAAAATTCAGCTCCTCAGTGGTACTAGACACATTTCAAGTGCTTAACCTTTTCATATGCTCTACAGCATAGATGCAGAACATTTCTATCAGCACAGAAAGTTCCAGGGCATAGCACTGATCTATAGTAATAGTGTTCTGATGACTGTGGGCATTACTGAAATCCCCAGTAGAGTGTGACATTCCCTGAAGGCAAGGCCATACTCTCACAGAACTTGTGATCAGTGGAACTGTGCCTGGTGCCCCGCCACTGACTGTGGGATTGATGCTACCGTGGTCAAATCACTATCTTACTTGTCTTGCTGCCACTCAAGGTAAAATACCTGAATCTAAATAAAAGAAGCCCAGAGAGGGTTACCAATGGACACCAAAAAGGAAATCAGGAGTCCCATTCCAATGTAAAAATAATTAAGAATTTTTAGTAAAGATTATCCATTCCTGTACAAACCCCCAAACTACATAATCAATAGCTGAGAAAATGCCAATTATCCAGGCCCATTTGAAATATTATTAATCTGCATCATGAGCAGCCACTAATCAACAGTACAAATTGTGAAATCACTATTTATTTATTTGCTGGGAGGAAGCACTCCCCATCACATTTAATCAGACAGGAACAGCTCAATTTCGGGAATAAATGGAACAAAGGCAGATATTCTTTATAAAATACTAAGGATCCCAAAGAAAGCTTGGAAGAGGTTGCTGGCACCTGTATCGATTCCAAGATCAAATCAGCCCAAGTACCTTAATAAAGCCTGTCATTACACACTCAGATGATACAGACAAAATTATGCTTCAGGTCAAAAGAGGATCATTTGAAGGAGTCAGAAAAGAATTTTCCCTTCTCTCTTTACTACCGTGCAACTGGCAAGGTGCACCTCTGAGTTATTCATTCATTCTGTCTCTGTCTGTCTCATCTCTGTCTTTTGGAGATAAAGATTAAATATGGCCTGTTGCTGGAATGAATGAATGAGAAAGTAGAGTCTTATTAAAGACATTCATTTTTATGGTGCTCATTTTAAGTCTTTCAGTAGGCTCCTGAAGGCCTAGCGTGTCCACTTGCACTGAGAAAACTCACTACCACTGAATTATAAACACTGCATGAGAGTTCATTGAACTGCCCTTAACAGAGCTTACCCTGAACAGGTGTAGGGATTAGAGAAGCACAAAGTGCCCGGCACAGGCCTTGGCACACAGTAGGAGCTTTGCAAATGGTGGCTTTTGTTTTTTTTCTTAGTGTCCTTAGCACACAGGATGCGGGGAGCATATGCACCAAATATCATTTGCATGATCTCACTAAATCCTTGTGTGTTGTTCCCCCTCAGCTTCTCAAATTCCCAAAAGCCACATGCTGCCTGGCAACAGTTTCACACTCATATGGGAGAACCTGAAGAGAGACTGCCACTAGTTTTCCTCATCTTATTTAACTAAACTAAAAACAAAACAAAAAACAAAACCCCTCCTGATAAAGAGCTTACTGTATGCCAGGCACTGTTCTAAACTTCCCATATTCAAACAATCCTCACAGTGCTCCTGTCAAGTCGGTACTGTTTTTAATCCTCATCCCACTAGAGGAAACAGAAGCACAGAAAGGCTAAGGTGCCTTGAGCAAGGCCACACAGCTAGAAAATGGCAGAGCCAGGATTAGAAACCACGCACCCAAACCATGAAAACAAAGGATAGATGGTCTGGCCGGTTACTCAGTCTTCAAACTCCGTTTGTGAAATCCTCTTCCCTAGTTCACCTCCTCTGCGCAGGTATGTTTAACTGCTATCTGCAAAGTTTGTTTAGATCTCACCTTAAAATTACAGCACAAACTGGGATCTTGGTCCATGCAAGGCAACACAGGATGATCCTCTCCCCACACTCAGGGCCTTTGAGCACAGACTGTCAATCCCTACTCCCTGGTCCCACCTTCCGAATCTTCCTAGGGGGCTTGGCCCTATCCCTCAGCATTCTCTCGAGCACAGGCCTCTGGACGCCACAGATCCCAGGTGGAAAGGGGACGGACGATAAGCAGCACGGACAGTAAAATCCACCTGGCGTGCCCATCCATTTGCTTAGCTGCAGTCACGCCCTGTCCTTGTCTCCAGGAAACAGAACAGGGGCACAGGGCCTACTCCGCCGGATCCCTCCCGGTATTTGGAAGCTGTTATGCTGCCTCTCAAATTTCTGTTTTCCAGGCCGAATAGCCCCAATTTCTTCAAGCTCTTCTCAGAGGTAATATTTCTCAGCCTTCAGTCATTTTCATTGCTCTCCTCTGGCCTCTCTCCAAGATTCTGTATATTGTTTAAATACTGAAGGCCAACACTGACCATGATTTAAGAACAGTCGTGCCTGGAAAAGTAACAAAGGCCCAACCAATACAGACTCCAGAAGGTAAATATTTTCTCAAAAAAATCAAAGTATTACAATATTAATAATGGAAGGCAGTAATAATAGGTTGACCAAATAAAATAATTTCTGTTGCTTGTCATGTCATTTCCTCTAATTATTATGGTGGTTTCTGGGAGACTTAGCTGTCCCGATAAGCCTTCCTAGAAAAGACTTTGCTCCTCCTCAGAAAAACGTAAGCTTTTCTTCCTAGTCTCAGCTCTTCTTTTCCTCAATACAGAAATCTTATCATCACAAGAGATGGCTGCTTCCTCCCTCTCAACACCAGCTTTTCCAGAAATAGCACTTCCTTTCCTGACTTCTTCAATTTCGTCTGCTTTTGCTAAGACATCCTCTTGCCTGGCTGCACCACCTGCCTCCCCTTGGGTGCATTTCAGGGTGTGGGTGCTCACCCTGGAGGCAAGGTAGGACACCAGGAATAGGCAGAGGCTGCTCGGGCCCCCAAATGCAAGATGAAGCCCCCACTTCACTGCTGACTCCTTAGAGATTCAGGGATGACCCCAGTCAAGTTCCACAAGGCAGATCCCCGTGCTGGGCCTAGGAGTAGGTGAGACAGGCGACTGGACTTCAGCGGAGGAAGGATCACATCAAGGGCAAAACAACAACGGGCAAGAGCTGCTGAAGAAATGCAACCTCAAAAACACAGACGTTCCTAACACAGAGCCAGACACCTGGATACTCAATAAACAAGCTGGCTTTTGGGCCATTTAAAAAACTTTTTAAATTCCTTAGTATAACACTATAGAAGGAGAATGAAGATGACCACTCAATAAAGCAAAAGCAAAACAAAATCCCTCTCCCACCCGCAGGGCCAACATGGCTTTTCTGGGTAGGTTAAGGATGCGTCTGCTCTCTGACTTTGAGCCCCAGTCTTCCAGGGGAGAAACCTCAGGAGCTCGAGGGCAGCCACACACACTACCTGTCCACTTGCTCTGGTCCTTCTCGCCTCCACTCTCTTGGTCTTTAGCAACCTCCTCTGGATCAGCAGCTGTTTCACTGGGCCCTTCACCATCTTCAATGGCTTCTTCTGAAATAGAAGAAAAACAAAATGTCAACGATTAAAACTAGACAGAAGATAAAGGACTCTTGGCTCCTAATTCCAAAGAACTGCCAACCATAAAACACAGACACCAATGACTACCCCTCTTCTCTTCCCAGTGGCCCCTGAAAGGCTGACTGCACTATGGATATGCCGAGGTCTGGGTAAGCAGTGGGGACTTTCCTTCCCTTCTTGTTGGTATGAGCTTATGACTTGCTCTAGACATGTGGCCATTAGGTATTTCCAGATGGATGCCGAATGCCTCATTTGAGTTCTTCTTATTGAAAAGCCAATTCTGTTGAAGAAATAACTCCAGCTGAATTCCTAAAGTTGCAGGCAAGTCTTTTATACTTGAAAATGCAAAAGAGGACCCACATGTTTGCTTTTTGCCTAGCTCCAACCCCAGCGTGTCCTGGCATCGAATTAGACTAAACCCAATCACTGACCCCTCATAGGCCTTGCAGCGCCTGTGCATGTGCCAGAACACGGCGGGAGTTCTTTTTATAGTCAGTCATATTCTAAGAGTCAAAGAATATCAGTGATATGATTTCATCAATACGAAGAGTTCTAGAAAACAAATGACATCCGTGAGCACATCAAGCATCAGTGGCAAGAAGTTAGATTTGTAGAGAAAGGGGGAAATTTTTTTTTTTTTTAAAGACTGGCACCTGAGCTAACAACTGTTGCCAATCTTTTTTTTTTCTGCTTTTTCTCCCAAATCCCCCCAGTACATGGTTGTATATTTTAGTTGTGGGTCCTTCTACTTGTGGCATGTGGGACGCTGCTTCAACGTGGCCTGACAAGCAGTGCTATGTCCGCGCCCAGGATCCGAACCAGCGAAACCCTGGGCTGCCGAAGCGGAGAGCATGAACTTAACCACTCGGCCACGGGGCCGGCCCCAGGGAAAAAAATTTTTTAACAGAATCATAGACTTTCCTTTTGAAGTCATTCTATTCTTTACCCACCATTGGTTTAAAACTGACTAAGGAAATTCTCTCCAGGTCAACACACAATGCTTTAGTAAAGGTAGAAGAATGGTCATTTGCAACATTAGGTTAATCATGAAGTAAAATGCCATGTGGCCAAGTGGGGAAGACGGGGATAAGATATCCTAAATGATGAGGGAAAGGAAGTGAGACATTTCTCTCTTGTTCTCCTGGCCCTTTGGATCATTATCCAAAACATTCATTAAGAATGGGCTAAATGAATGAATAAGGCAGGCAAACCAAGGTAGGCTACTGATGAAATGATTAGGACACTTTTGAAGAGCACACCTTCCTGGGTATAGAGACATGAAAGCCTGGCTGTCCACATCCGTCACCCGAGGCCAGCACTGGACCAGACCTCACTGGGACCACCTATTAGGGTCCAATGTAGGGCTATGGATTTGGGGCTCTGTCCAATGTCACCTAAGTCCCTCCAAATTCAGTTCTACTTTTCAATATTTCAAGGTACTAATACCCTCCAAACCTCCAGAAAATAGCTTCTAAATTTCATCTCACAAAGGAAGTAAAAGGAATTCAAAGTAAATTGACCTCAGAAGGTTTATAAAACACTTGAGGAAGAAAGTATCTATTTAGAGTCAGATTTTCCTAATTCTTCCCCAAAACACAATGGAAGTCCAAGTACTGGAAAACTGAACTAGGGGTCAGGGAACATTCTTTCTTCATTACCACTAATAGGGGATTTATGAGGCAGTCATAGGGAACACAGATGAAATAAGATACTCCTTATTTTCATCTCCAACTAAGAGGCCTCCACATACAATTTCTACGTCTCCTTTCTGTCTCAGTGCCTAGAAAAGTTAACAGCCAATCTTCCTGCCCCCACCTTTAGTTCAAACAGAGGAAAATCAGGCAGCCATGGCTTCAAGTCAATCAGATATACAATGCCATATTAACACTATACATCGTTTAGTAGAGGAAAAGATATATATACAAGTATTAGTAGAGCTATAACAAGCAAGTTACACAGGATGACATATGTACCATCTTAATTATGTCCGGGAAGGATGTTAAATTCACATTTTAAAGCTTTTGATAAAATTGTTCAACACTGTAATTATAAAATCCATCTTTGAATGGTGATACTAGTATTCAGTCTCAATATTATTAAATTGGGTCTACGCAAAGTATCTCTTAAAATATACTCATTTGCTCCAATATATGCTGTGATATAAAATATCTGTAGTACTGATACATTAATCAAATTTGACGATGCAAAGGGGTGGCTCAATGGCCTCTCCTCTCCATCATGCGCTGCGCGCACACACACACATTATCACCTTAGATGGAGACAGTCTGACACCTACAAAACAGAGAACACCCTGATGTGGTGATGAACAGTGTCTGAAGGTGCTGCTCTGCAGAGGAGGGAAGGAATTTGCGCAATGGGAGGCAATCTCCAAGGCCAGCACCTCCCTCCTACACTTTATGTGGGCTGCAGCCATCTAAGCAGAAAGGTAAGAACTCCTGGTCACTCTGGCATTGACCCCAGTTCTCTGAACCTTTCCAAACAAATCTATTCAGAAGATAGAGAGTGTGAAGAATCAGCACATCATTGATGCAATGAGCAAGGAAACTGCACAGTGCTTTGTGACTATTCCTGAGCCCTCATTCTATAAGCCTACTTGCGTCTTTGCTTTCTTCCCTCCCTGTCTTACTACAAGCAGAAAAGTGAAGGCCGCTGAGTTCCAACGAGGTGACAAGACAACAGAGATTAATTCAGGAACTTATTTTGCTTCTCTCTCTTTCTTTCCTCTCCTTTTATTTTAAGATTTAAAAATCAAGTCTTCTTCTTTTGGAGTTCCTAGGTTTAATATTGTCATTTATGACTCATTCATTAAAAGGCTTTTATATACTTGGTGGAAGAAGAAATGATCAAGAAACTCCTGGACAAGCCAGCTTCCTTTACAAGGGGATCACTGTCCTCACCCCCAGCTAAAAACCAGGTCCCATTCAGCCAATTAGGTACTTCTCTGCAGTTCCATGTCTGACGTACAGGTGTCGCCCTCTGCATGGCGAGGCCTGGAAGGGCAGCTAGCTGCAGGAGGCAGACACCGTCTGGGACGCCTAACCTGAGCATGTGGAAATAATATACATCTTCAAGTGAACTGTCTGGTCCCGGGGAAATAAAATAGGACATTCATAAGCAGTTACACCATCTGTCTTTATACCATCATCAACAGCAAGAGGAAAAATAGCTCTTTAAAATGGATGAAAGCCCAGGCTGACAGTAACCAGAAAACTGTGAGTTCTGAATACCAATAAAGGCAGAGAAATGATTAAAAAACAGAGATACAAACTATGAATTCATCTGGACAGCTCAGGCCCACAGTGCTTGGTAGGCGGGGTATGTTTTATTGGTCCCCAAAGCCTAAAGTGACCCCACTAAGATCCAGGCCTCAGGCACCCACAGGAAGGGCCTGGTCTCCCTGCACTGGGAACACGTGGGCACTAGGGACACAACGGCACCAAGCTCCGAAAGAGAGAGCTGCGTCCACACTCTGAGCTCCAGGCTGGGGTTATCTGGCCCTCGTCCCCTTTAGGAATGTATAATTGATACCCACATGCTGATAGAACACAGGGTGGAGGGGAGGGTTTTTCCCCACAGATCACAGATCGCATTTTCCCCCGTGAAGTCAGTGGCAACTGGCCGGGGTCATTACAGAAGCGGATTTTTTTTTTTTCTATAATATCAGCTACTGACAGGTGGTGGGAACAAATGAAGACCTGGTGGACCAATGATCCGGTTTTATCTGGAAAATCCTGTCTTTCCCTCAGAAGATGAAGTTGCTTTCCTTCACCAAGACATACAACAGCCACTGTGCCATTTTTAAGGCCGAAACAGACAAATCAAAACCATCTTCTCCTCAAACAGTTTAATAATATTTCAGAACCCAACCAGAAGAAACGAGGAATGCTTTCTCAAGGGGCAGCCAGGACCTACGGGAGGAGGTCATCTCAGCTCCCTTTGCCCCGCCGGTGCTTGGCAGGAGGCAGCAGGCACAGCACATCCCAGACAGAATATCTATTTTTTAGAAGACCCCAGAGAAGGCGCCTTTAAACCCCCCGCAGGAGGACACCCTCCACAGTAGCCCTGAATCTAGGGCACCCTCCTCTTTGGATGTATTTCATGTTAAAGGGCTGGGGAAATAGAAGCAAATTCTGAATAACTGCAAGGTCTTCCTGGTGTCCCCTCTGCCTCCAACTTCCATGTAAAACAGTGACTGAATGCCTTTAAAAAAATCTATTTCCATTACCACCTCCTTTTTACAACTGCCTCTCCCAGGCGGCACTTACTAGCACTTGGGCCAAACCCAGCCTGCTCACGTCACTCATGTCTCCTGGTTAAGGGCAGAGCTCTCAGGTATAAAAATTTCAGCAGATAAATATAATCTAAAAGGGAAGCGTTTCTAGGGCAGCTTAGGATTCTGAGGGGTGATGACAACACAGCCCTAGAAATTTCCCTTCAATCAAGGTGGTTTTCCTTACCACAAACGCAAATTGTTCTCTTAACATACCTTATTACTTATCATGTTGGTGAAGGTGATGGCATGATTTCCCAGTCTGTGGTGAAGTCTGCTCCCAAAAGAGGCACGTGTGCCAGTTGGCAACCCCATGGGGATTTGCAATAATTTTATGAACCTGGAAATTGGTTTGTAGAAGGAGCACCAGTAGAAGCAAAGATAGAGGTGCCCTCACCATGAAGTCGGCACTCGCTACCACCGCACACACTCTTCAAATGTGCTACCCAAGAAAACTTGCCAGTTGCTAAAAAATGATGCAGATCACCCTACTGGGGCCGAGTGCCGTGTCCATTGGGTGTATTTTACCAATCGCTTACAGACTTGAAGGAAGGGGAGTCAATCAATGACTAAGACTAGTCCCTCTGTTCCTAACTTAACAGGATAATGTAGATTAATTCAAACCTTCCCCCAAACCTGACAAGGCCCCCATAGAGCCTCGATGGGAGAGAAATTTGGAAAT